GCAGAGGGGACACTTACTATGGAGGGAGTCGGGAGTGTGACGTGGGGCTGGACAAGGTCTTCTTGGGGCGCACGCTCTGAGCAGAGCGGCAACACTCCTGAGACCCTCGAAGCAAGAGGTGACTCAATCAGAGTGGCTATCGACTAGGGGAGGTTGCACGGGCAGCGCTCTGTACGGAGGGAGGGATGCTGCAGGCTGGAATGCAGAGTGCCGTGCGGGGAGGCGCACTGGGGCCACAGTATGCCCCGGGGGGTTTTGATGACTTCCTAAAACAAACAGAGAACTGTGAGATGTTAGCAGGAAAGTGATTACAAAGAAGTGGCACTAGGGAAAAGATCCTCACACAGTAGGGCCACCAGCAGAGACCAGGGGAGAACTGGGTTGGCCGAGTAGAGCCGCCAGAACTTGGTTCTGGATGAGCATCGTTCAACAAAAACAGAATGTGACTCACAGATATAATTAAAATTTTTCTAGGAGCTACATTTACAAAAGTAAAAAAAAAAAAAACCAACCCAGATGAGATTAAAATATACCCAGGATATACAAAATATTATCAGTTCACAAGTAATCAATTTAAAAGTTTTAAACCACTGTTCTTTTTTTAATTAATAAACTTAATTTTTTAGAGCAGCTATAGGTTTACAGAAATGTGGATAGAAACTACTCTTCCTCTAAGCTCCCCTAACATTTATATCTTGCATTAGTGTGGTGCATTTGTTATAAATGAAGCATTAATATTAATATATTATTGTTAACCAAAGTCCATAGTTCACATTAAGATTCACTCTTTGTGTTGTACATTCCATCAGTTTTGACAAATTTATAATACCAGGAGTCCATTATTATGCAGATTTTTTTGCCCATTTTTAATTGGGTTGTTATTGCTGAGAATTTTGAGTTATTCTCTTTGTTTATGATCCATTTGTAGCTAATTTTTGTGAAGGGTATAATGTCTGTGTCTAGGTTTATTTATTCTGCATGTGGATGCCCTGTTGTTCCAGCAGCGTTCGTTGAAAAGACTCTCCTTTCTGCATTGAACGGCCTTAGCTCCTTTGTCAAAGGTCAGTGCACTGCATCTGTGCCGATCCACTTCTGCGCTCTCTACTCTGTTGCCTTGGTCTGTGTGTCTGTCCTTTCTCCACTGTTGGGACCACTCTGGTTTTACAGTGAGTTTTCAAGTCTGGTAGTGTCAGTCCTCTGATTTCATTGTTCTTCTTTAACAGTGCTTTTCAGTGTTTTGGTCATATGGAGTCTTTTGCCTCTCCATAGAAACTTTAGGATCCGCCTGTTGATATCCTCAAATAACGTGCTGATATTTTGACTGGGATCGCTTGGACTCTAAAGGTCAAGTTGGGAAGAAACAATATCTTATCAGTATTCACCCTCCTATCAATGAGCATGGACCATCTCTCTGTTTATTCAGGCCTTTGATTTCTCTCATCTTTAGTTTGTACTTTTCCTCATACAGACATATATATTTTGTTAGATTTATACAAAAGTAGTTCATTTTTTTCTGGTGCCAATGTAAATGGCATTGTTTTTAGTTTCAAATTCCAATTAACGTTGTATTCTGCAACCTTGCTGTGACTGGTGATTAGTTCCGAGAGAATTTTGCTATTGTTGAGTATGTGCGAGTTTCCATTTGGCCAAACATGTCATTTGTGAAGTTATATATTTTTTCCTGTCCAATATGTACACCTTCTATTCCTTTTCTTATTTGTTGCATTAGCTCAGACTTCCAGTGTGCGGTTGAACAGGACTGGTGAGAGGGGACACCCTTTCACTGCTCCTGGTCTTACCAAGAAGGCATCTAGTTTCTCACCATTAAATGTGATGCTAGCTGCAGGTTTTTCGTAGATGTTTATCAAGTTGAGGAAGTTCCTTTCTATTCCTGGTTTGCTGAGTTTCTATCATGAATGGGTGTTGGGTTTTGTCAAGTGCTTTTTCCGCATCTATTGATATTTTTCTTCTTTAGCCTACGGATGTGATGGATTACGTTAATTACTTTTGAATGTTGAACTAGCTTTGCTTACCTGGAGTACGTTCTACTAGGTGGTGGTGTATGATTATTTTATACATTGTTGGATTCCATTTACCAGTATTTTATTGAGGAATTTTACGTCTATGTTTAGTAGAGATATTGGTCTGGAGTTTTCCTTTCTTGCTATGTCTTTGTCTGGCTTTTGTGTTAGGGTAATGCTGGCCTCATAGAATGAGTTAGAAAATTCATTTTGCTGCTGTTTTCTGGAAGAGACTGTAGAAAGTTGGTATAATTTCTTCCTTAAATGTTTGGTAGAATTTACCAGTGAAACAAACCATCTGGGCCTGGTGCTGTTTTCATAGGTCATTAATTATCGATTCTATTTCTTTAGATATAGGCCTATTCAAGTGTCCTATTTCTTTTGTAAGTTTTGGTAGATTGTGTCTTTCAAAGAATTGACCATTTCTTCTAGGTTATCATTATCTGTAGGTAGTTATTGTCCTTTTAATGTCCACGGGATTCTTCATTTAGGATATTGGTAATTTGTGTTTTCTAGTTTTCTTTTCAAAGACTTTATTTATTTTTAGAGAGAGGGGAAGGGAAACATCAATGTGTGGTTGCCTCTCGCATGCACCCCACTGGGGACCTGGCCTGCAACTCAGGCATGTGTCCTGACTTGGAATTGAACTGATGACCCTTTGGTTCACAGCCCACGGTCAATCCACTGAACTACACCAGCCAGGGCTCTAGGTTTTTCTTAATTAGCCTCACCAGTTTTATCAATTTGATTGTTTTTTTCAAAGAACCAGCTTATGGTTTTGTTGATTTTCTCTATTGATTTCCTATATTAAAATTCATTTACTTTTGCTTTAATTTTTGTTACTTTTTCCTGCTTTTGGATTTAATATGCTCTTCTTTTCCCAGTTTCCTGAGGTAGAGGCTTAGACTGCTAATTTGAGATAGTTTCTAATGCATGCATTCCATGCTATAAATCTCCCTCTAAGCCCTGCTTTTGCAGCGTGCCACGTTTGGGTTATTTTCATGTCCTTTTAGTTCAAAATATTTCTAAATTTCTCCTGAAACTTCCTGGACTCAAGTGTCATTTAGAAGTGTGCTGTTTAATTTCCAAGCATTGTGGTATTCTCCAGCTGCATTTCTGTTACTGATTTCTAGTTTCATTCCACCACGGCGTGAGAGCACGCTTTGTAGGATTTCTATTCTTTTAAATTTGTTGAGGTGTTTGTTGATGACCCAAGATGTGGTCTGTTTTGGTCAAAAATAGACCCTGAGAGCTTAAGGGGGATGTGGACCCCGCTGCTTGCTGCTGGATGAAGAGTTCTGTGGACGTCAGACTGTGTTGGTTCGCGGTGGTGCTGAGTGCAATTGTCTTTACTGACTTTGTGCCTGCTGGGTCTGTCAGTTACCGACAGAGGAATGGTGAAGCTTCTGTAGGAGCGAATTCGATTTGTTCTTGCCATGCTATCAGTTTTTGCCTAACATAGTTTGCCACTCTGTGCTGGGGGCATACAGATCAAGGATTGCTGTGTGTTCTTGGAGAACCGACCCCTTGTTACTGTGTAACATATGTTTTGATCCCAAATTTTCCTGTTCTGATATTTACATTGTCTGAAATTAATGTAGCTACTCCCCAGCCATCTTTTTATTTTTAATGTTTCTCACCTGAGAACATGTTTTCATTGCTTTGAGAGAGAGAGACATCAATGTGAGAAACATTGATTGGTTGCCTTCTTCTACACACCCCAACTGGGGATTGAACCCTGATCTTTTGGTCCATGGGCCGATGACTCTCCAACCAGGCCACACAAACCAAGATTCTAGCCATCTTTTGATTAGTGTTAACATAGTTCTCTCTTTTTAATTCATCTGCTTTTTATATTTAAAGTGGGTGTTTTGGGTAGATAACATACAGTTGGGCCCTGTTTTTTATCCAGTCCCATTGTCATTTCATTAATATATTTAGACCACTGACGTTTAAAGTGGTTACTGAAAAAAGTGATTATTGATATAACTGAAATAATTAAAAGCAAAGACGACTCTCTGTTGTTGGCAATTTCATAAATAAAAGGACATTCTAATAGTGCTTCCACCCGCAACCCCCCTGCCCGCAGCCCCAAAGGGGGAAACTAAATGGTCTGTGTTTTCTCATCTACAGAAGTCCAGACCTAGTATTTGTTGGTCTTTTTTCCTTTTCATTTTATTTTAATCACCTTTTCTCTCTTCTGTTTTTTTAATAGTTGTATGACCTTGGGTAAGTTATTTAGCCTCTTTGGTCTCTGGTTTCTAAGTTGTGAAGTTGCTGTAAGGGTTAAATGAGTTGAAACACATGCTTAGGACTTCGGACGTTCTCCTAGTTCAAGGCTGGCATGTCTTGGGGTGCCCTGGGCTGAGGTTGGTTTGGGGTGTGGGGTAAGGTTGGGACTTCAAAAGGACAAGTGAAGTGGGACAAGACTGTAGGACTGAAAAGCCTCCTGGCTTCCTACGCTCTGTACTGAGCATGTTTCATTCGACAGACCCTTTCATTCAACATGAGAGCCCGCCTAGGGAAAAAACCGAGAATAATCAAATGTTATAATGAACAAAAGGGAGGAAGTTGGTCCTAAGAATATGGTATCTGGCAAGAAGCCTTCAAGTAAGGGGCTGAAGCTGGAGAAGACTAGAGGGGCCCTGAAAACCTGTTGCATGCTACATGGCTACCCCTTGTTTCCTTCCCATTGTCGGGCATATGGGGGATGCTCGGCAGTGGCACAGGTTACTCTGCCAGCAAGCAAGCTCTCCAGTTCAACTGGGCACAAACTCAGCAGCGCGGACCTCGGAGTCAAGAATGTTGAAACTGACCTCAAGTTTACCTCTATCTCTCCAAGTTTCATAACTTCACTTTTTAAAATACTGCAGAAAGATAATTAGCTGTATTACAGACTGGGAAAAATGTAAGGAATGAAATTGTCAGTGCACACAAAGTAAGGATTAAGGAATATTGCCTTGTTGGAGGTACTCATTTTTATACTTTGCCGCAGACTCTTACTCGCTAGGAAACCCTCTTTCAAATGGTTTGTAAGACTCTTGAGGCCCACGGGCTGAATTCAGCCTGCATACAAGTTTGTTTGGCTGTACAGTTACAGAAATTCTTTTAAAGTAACACCTCCAACATTGTATGTAAACAATCCAGATGTCCAGCTTCCCTTTGCAAGTCGTAAGTTATGCTGGCACCGGGGTAATAGTGGCACAAGGCAGCAACTAGCTCTGACAGCTTCCTTTCAACGCGATGTGTCGTCTTCGACTCATTTACCCCTGCCATTCAGAAGGCCTGCGAGTGTGAGTACCTGCAGGTTTGGAAGGAGCTGGAGTTGGCTACCCGGCGGCCAGGGACGGTCCGAGACGGTAACTTTCAAACTGAGACCTACAGTAAATAACTCGGAGCGATCACGACCTGCGTGCCTCGATTTCTCATCCGTAAAATGGGACTGAGGATGGGCAGCGGTGGTGGGAAGGACTGGCGACGGAGTATGTAAAGGGGCCGGGGTACAGGACCTCCATCACTTTAACGCCGCGGAGTGTCCCGACCCCGAAAGGGACTGGACCGGAGGAGGCGCTCCGGGAGCGGGGCTGGAGCTCAGGGAAGCGCCGCCGGACTTCGTTCTCCGCTCCTCTCCTCTCCTCCCCGGCGCGGGCCCCCGCGCTCCGCCGAGGTCGGCCCCGGGGCGCCGAGAGGCGTGGCCCGCCCGTGCAGACCCTGGCGGCGGCCATGGCCTCGCTGGTGGAGTACAAGGGACTCAAGGCCGGCTACCACTGCGGCTACTGCGACTCGGAGGGCAAAGCGTCCCGCGGTGAGTGTCTCCGTCCACCGAACTGGCGCGGCCGCCTCGCGTCCAACACCCGCCCGGCCCTTCGTGCCCCGCGCCAGGCCCTCGCGGCGGAGCCCACGGGTCCGGCTCTCCCACTCCCGCTTCCCTTTCCCACTCGTTTCTTCCCAGACCGTTTCCTTTCACACTCCGTCCATCAGCCTCACCCTCACCGAAGATGGCCGTTCCTCTCCGGGAAGGAACTGAAATAGGCAGAGGCTGCCCGGGACCAAAATGGCGCGGGCGGCGTCAACGCTGTGGGACCGCGGCGGGGCCCGGCTTGCGGAGAGCCGCGCGGCCTCCAGTGCGCCTCCCGGGCTCGGGGCGGCGCGGTGCATTGTGGGGTGGCGGCGGCGACGACGTTGGGCTGGGGTGCGCGGCGTTTGGAGAGCCGGGGCCATGGCTTCCTGTACAGCTCTTTCGTCCAGCATCGTGGAGTATTTTCAGGGCGATGGCTTTTACCGCTGTGGTTATTGCAAGAACGAGTCGGGAAGTCGCTCCAATGGTGAGCGGGCCGGCGGGTGGGCAAGGGGAGGGCGCCGAGGCCGCGGGGGCTCCGCGGCTGAAGGGCGTCCTCGGGGGTCGCCGCTCCCCGGCTGGGGCCGACCGGCTCGAGGGACCCACGGCGGCTGGAGCCCCAGCCCAGTCCCTCTCTGGTGGAGGGAGTGCGGAACGCAGCTACCCCGTGGCTGTCAGCACTACATAAAAACAGACTTCACCTGATGCAGCAGGTAAGCTCCCAGGTACATATTCTTCACTCGGGTGCTCGGACGCGCGAGATAGTGACTGTCTCGCAGCAGCCAAGTGTGGAAACAGATGCCCATCACCAGTGACGGGTAAATAGACGATGGCATACGTGCGAGGGAGCCCTATAGTGTCGTCAGTTACGGCTGGGGCTGTCCTGTAGCTCTGACGCTGATGTGGGACGGATCCCCAGGAGTAGGTGCTGGACAGGGAGTGCCCGGTGGTGCTGTTTCTGTAAAAAAACAGGTGTACGCGCACACGTGTGCTTGGGCATCCATGAATAAAATGGTCTCCGCAAGAATATACAAGAAACTGGTGACCGTAGGCGCTGCTGGCGAGGGGACCGGTTTGTACCGATGTGTTTGAAATATTTACCAGGCGCTTCTATGCCGTGTCATTTCTCCACCCACCTCGATGACGACGCAAAGACAGCCTGCAGGATTTTTTTTTTCTTTCCTATCATGATGTAGGTTTCTTTCGAAAAATGTGTTGTTTGTGAACAAAGCATGCATCCCGCACTGGCATGCATTGGCAAATGCAGAATCTCCTGTTTTAAAGAACAGTCCAGCATTGTGGAAAGTGGGCTGTCCACGAAGATGTCAGTTTAGGTAGTTCCCATGTTGAAAACAGTATAAATGCCCTACAGTAGGGGAATGATTGGGGTGATTATAGTGTGTCCATTTACTAATTAATTAAAGTGTTTATTAGGTGCTGCTTGCGAGGGAGTAGAAGGTGACATAATGCCATCTTTATGAGTGAGGACTATGAAGACGGTGAGCTAATTGGGAAGATGTTTCCAGTGTAGTGTTAAACGGAGAAAATAAACGGGATGCAAATGATGTGACCTGATTACGTCGCTGGGAGGCCAAAAACCCAGAAGGACACCAAGTGGTGACTGCTGTTAGGCCTTAGGGTATTCAGTGGATTCCTCCCTTTTTCAGAATTTTAGTGTTGAAACTGTAATATGTGTGTGATAAATAAGTTATGTTAAATGTCTAAAATTCACATTTTAATAGATTTTGAATTATTCTAGTAATTTTGTTAAGAGAAAACGGGTTAATGTAGATGTTCAGTGTTTAAAGTCTTGTGGAAGAAACCTGCTTTTGAGCCTTTAGTTACCTAAAGAGATAAATTTTTATCCTGATTTTAATTCTAATAATAATTTTTACGATAGAACACCCCACCCCATAGGGTAGGGAGGTTTTCTTACTCCTGTGTTACAGGTGATGACATCAAGCTGGCAGAGCGAACTTGTCAGTGTTCACCCTCTTGTGCCCGAACTTCTCTCACTGCATCCGGCTCCCTCAGGCCTGCCTCTGTCTCTGTACGCCTCTGATGCTGTTATAAGAGAAAAATTCTTCCTCTTTTTTTTTAAGATTATTTATTTATTTATTTATTTTTAGAGAGGGGAGGGAGGGAGAGAGAGAGAGAGAGAGAAACATCAATGTGCGGTTGCCGGGGGTCATGGCCTGCAACCCAGGCATGTGCCCTGAGTGGGAATCGAACCTGCGACACTTTGGTTCGCAGCCTGCGCTCAATCCACTGAGCTATGCCAGCCAGGGCCAAAATTATTCTTTTAACATTAATTCAAGTATACCTTTTAATGTCTTTCTTACGGTCTTCATTTTTTATGGTTGCAGAATTATTTCATTGTATCGATGACACATAGAACCTGTAATCACCTTTTCCTAGGCATTTGGGTTATTTTTAGTTTTATACTTAAAAGGATTATGACTACACTTTTGTCCTATTTTTGATGTTCAAGACTATACTATAAATATATATAAATCTAGAAATTTATGCACAGGAAAACATTTTCTAACTTTTCTGAAGAGACTAGTTTAATAATTTATTGGGGGTATTATTATTGTTTAAGATATAATATAATCTGGTTGCAGTGAGGACCTACATTTATGATGTCATTGAGACTCTTGACTAATGTTGAATTAAAAGCAATCACTTTGATGTGTGTTTGTTTTTTTTTTAATTAAGGTGATATGTGATATTTTTCATTTGCTATGTTATGTCAAACCAACAAGTAGAAAGTATGCAAACTTTATACTTTCCTCCAGTGTGCGCTAGATTTTTTTTCCTTCTGTGTTCACTTTAAAAAATTACTGCTTTGAATTTAAAAATGTAAGAAGTTCAGCCTGCTGTCCTTGACACACCCCTTACTTTTCCAGGCATGTGGGCGCACTCCATGACCGTGCAGGACTACCAGGATCTCATAGACCGCGGATGGCGGAGGTGAGGCTCCTCAGCGCAAAGATGCTGCTCTTGCTGCTCAGGTTCTTACAATTGAAAAAAAAATACTGTTTGCCTTTTAAATGTTTTCCTGATGTTGGAAAGAGGTTTAAGACATTTTTTATTATTTTGTCTCTCTCTTAAGGATCTTTATTAGGAAAAAAATTTTTTTAAAGATTTTATTTATTTATTTTTAGAGAGGGAAAGGAGGGAGATAGAGAGAGAGAGAGAGAGCGAAACACCAATGTGCGGTTGCTGGGGGCCGTGGCCTGCAACCCAGGCATGTACCCTGACTGGGAATTGAACCTGCGACACTTTGGTTCGCAGCCCACGCTCAATCCACTGAGCTACGCCAGCCAGGGCTGGAAAATTTTAAGTATGCACAAACACGGGGAGCACATTATAATGAATCTCATGTACCTGTCACCAGGCTTCAACAGTTAACGTTTTGCCAACCTTCTTTCGTCTGTTGCTCTTGCTCCCTGCGCTGGGCTGAGTGTTTGTGTCCCACCAAAGTGTCTGGGTTAAATCCGAGCTCCCATTTATGGTGGTGGTTGGAGGGGGCTTTGGGGGATGATGGAGTCGTAAAGGTGGAGCCATCAAGAGTGGGATTAGTGCCCTTGCCCCTCCCTCCCTGTGAGGACACAAGGAAAAGAGGAACCAGGAAGTTTGTCTCCATGAGACACCGGACCTGCTGCTGCCTTGACCTCGGGCATCCCAGCCTCCAGGATGGTGAGGAGTAAACTTCTGTTGTTTAGAGGCCACTTCGTCTGTGGCACTCTGAGATGGCAGCCCAAGGGGACTGAGACACTCCTCCACTTCTCCCCCTACAAAATAGTTTAAAGCAAATTCAGGTGTCATATCAATATACCTATAAATAGATACGTGTTTCTAAGAAGGAGTCTTTTTCTTTTATAACATATCCACAATACCATTTATCATACTATACAAAATTAATAATTCTTTGATGCCATCTCTTACCTAATTTTGATTCAATTTTCTGCTCATCTCAAAATGTCTTTTTTATGATTTTAATAGTTTATTTTTTGTTGTATTTTTTCCATGACCATTTATCCCCCTTATACCCCCTTACACCTCCCCCCATCCCCCCTGCCACCACAGTCGCCACTCTGTTGTCTGTGTCCATCAGTTCTTGCTCATTTTGCTTGGTCCCTCCCCCGTCCAGAGCTGTCAGCCTGCTCTCTGTCTGTGAGTCTGTCTCTGTTTTGCCTGTTAGTTCAGTTTGTTCATTAGATTCCACGTATGAGTGAAATCATATAGTATTTGTCTTTTTTTTTTAACAGTTGGTTTATTTGAATCAGGATTCCATTAAGGTCCACACATTGCCTTAGTTGGCTAAGATTTTTCTGGTAGTTGTCATGTAGATGGTTTTAAAATAACTGTTGAATATTAGGTGAAGTTCCTTATATACGTAGTATAAGCAGTGTTAAGTGCCCTGGGCCAGTGGTCCCCGAGAGACGTCGGGCTAAGCGCAGCAGGCGGAACTTCCTGACTTGCCTTAAACTCAACAGCGAGTCCCAGCAGTAGCTGTAGGTCCGTGCAGTTCCAACAGTGTCTGTAGGTCCGTGCAGTTCCAACAGTAGCTGTAGGTCCGCGCCGAAGGACTGTGCGTGCCATGATGAGGAACAGTTTTGAAGGCAGAGGGGAACCACCGAAGGCTTTTGTGTCGCCAAGAAGCGTGATGGAATGTGTGCTTTGGAAGGCACCGTTTGCCCAGCGGAGGGGGATTTGAGGGGGGGTGCTCCTGGAGGCAGAAGACGGCTGCCACCGGGGTCGCAGCGTTGGGATGTGAGACGGCGAAGACCGACAGTGGCGATAGGTAGCAGGGGACGGGTTTAAGGTTCATTTTGGAGGTGGAAGGCTCGCCGATAGGGCACAGAGCTGCTCTAGAGGTGGGAAGGAGTCTCAGATGACCCCTAGGTTCCTGGCTCGGGAACTGAACTCGTGTTTGTCGGGCTGCCTCAGCAGTTCCACAGGCGGGGCAGCTCAGACAGCCCCAGTTTGTCCTTTCACCGTCCCGGAGGCTGGAGGTGTGCAGTCAGGTTGTCCAGAGCTTTGGTTTCCCCTGAGGCCTCTCTCCTTGGCCCGCGCGTGGCTGCCTTCCCGCTGTGTCCTCACGCGGTCGGCGTGCACATCCCTGGCGCCCGGGTCTTTCTGTGTTTCCAGTTCCCTTGTCTCTCAAGGACACGTATCAGATCCGATTAGGGCTCGTCTTGACAGCTTCCTTTTAGCCCAGTCACCTCTTTGAAGGCCTCACCTCCACACGCAGTCACATTCTGAGGTGCTGGGCGTCAGGGTTCCGGCATGAATTTGGGGGACAAAATTCAGCCCACGATGGTTCTGCCATTCACTGAGATCTAAAAAGTTCGAAAGGAGCAGGTCGGGCTGGGGGTACTTTGTGCTGTGGCGCATGGAACCCCAAGTGTGGGGGCCATAGGCAGCCGTGTGCAGCGGCCCTACAGCGTTCTGGGCGGCTCTCTCTGCCCGTGGCATTTGGCATTGGGGTGGTGGGCCAGCAGGGAAAGGACCGCAGACGCTGGCGGGAAGGTGACTGGGGTGATTGATTAGCCTTGGAGTGCGCAGGCGAGGGTCCAGCGGAGAAAGGGCTGGCCTCTGGCCCTCGGACTGCCCACGGGGCGGGATTCCTGCGCTTAGGAAGAGTGATTAAACCTAAAGGCGCTTTTATACTGTTGATTAGCTTGTTACCCTAGTTAAGTTTGTGCTTCTGTGCTAATCTACTTTGGCATATATGAGAAAGGTGTAAGAAGTTAACAAAACTATTTTATAATTTTAGAAGTGGGAAATACGTGTACAAGCCTGTGATGAATGAAACCTGTTGTCCTCAGTACACGATAAGGTAAGAGTTTTTTCTAGATTTTATTTATTTTTAGAGAGAGGGGAAGTGGGGGAGACAGAAAGGGAGAGAAGAAACATTGATGTGAGAGACAAACATCGATTGGTTGCCTCTCATACTCGCCCTGACCGGGACCAAACCCACAACCCAGGCATGAGCCCTGACTGGGAATCGAACTGCCTACCTTTGGCTTTGTGGGTCGATGCCCAACCAGCTGAGCCACACCAGTCAGGGCATGTGCTAAGAATTTTGATTGCTAGAAGGGGGCTCTATAATAAGAAGATTGTGTATAATTTTTTAGTAGAATCTTACTTGTTTTAAGTGTTAATTTTCATTCTAGGTAGACATTCTTTATATGCAAAAGCAAGTGAGTTAAGGCTTTTGTACATACTGATGCTATGTTCACATGCTGATCTGTAGCTTTTATTAGTGTTTAATTGGTTCATATATAAATATATGAAAAAGATACCTGTTTGTTTGGCAGTCTAGTCAGTGATACCATGAAATAGTTGGAAAATATTGGTAAATACTGAAATTATTTTTAGATGTCAAACTTTCCTAGGTGTCAGCTCGGGCTTCCCCTGCTCTACTGTATTTCCTGACTCGGTGCTTGCGCCCACGCGGTGCTGTAGGGTTCTGGAGCAGGCTGAAGTGCGACCCACCACGTGCATTTGGAGTCCGCTTGTCTTCATCGGAAAACTTAAACTAAAAACTCTTACTTTCCTACAAAGCATTTGATTAATTGTTCATAATCTTTTGGGTCTGCCCTTTGCCCTCTTCATCCCACCCTAACTTGGAAAGATTCTCCCTTCTCCTTCGATTATAAAGGCCCCCCTCCTCTTCTCCCTCACTGTCTTCCTCTCCCCTTCTCTTCCTCCTCGTACAAAATGGGGAGAGGACATTAACAGTGCGAAGCATCTGTCTGCTGTATTAGTGTGTATGAACGAGGTATACTTTAGATAAAAAAGCAAACGGTTGTATCCATCACTTTCTGACTGGTCCTCATGGCCATTGCTCTTAGCTGTGCTCACTGTTTGGTGCACTGTTCTGAGAATTTGATGAAAGCTACAGGCCCTCCTGCAACCAAATCGAACAGGGGAGGGGACACATTTAGAATGATCACCCATTCCCAAAAGTTCCACTGACTCCTGGTTAAGAATCCGTTCTCTCCTCTAACTGATCACCGACCTGGGACGGTAAAGAGGAGGGTGGGTGTCTGTCTGGTTTGCTGACAGCGTCTCATTTATTACACAAAGAAGAACATCACAGAGTAGCAGTGCTGGGCCCTTTCAACTTGCGTGGTTATGGAGCAGTGACATCTTCAAAGGCAGAAGTCACGTTCCTTCAGATAGCAATTTTGATTACTGGCTTACGGCTACAGTTCTGTTCAAGTAAGTCTGAAGTTGATTGGCCTGAACCCTGGGAATTGTAACCCGAAAAGGCCAGTTCAGTGGGTTAAAGAAAAATACAAAGCATCTGTAATTTATTAGGTGCTTGTCACATGCAGAATGTGGTTTCTGATAAATTGTTTTTAATTTTTTTAAATTGATTGTGTGTGTGTGTGTGTAAGAGAGAGAGAAAGAGAGAGAGAGAAACATCGGTTTGCTCTTCTCCCCAGCCACGCATTCATCGGTTGATTCTCGGAGGTGCCCTGCTGGTGCTCGGGGCTGGGCTGGGGAAGTGGGTTTCAGGTCTCAGCATCCAGTTCGTAGACTTTGATTTAAGCTTCCTGTTTCCAGTACGGCTCCATAGCCTTCACCTGTGCTGTATCCCTCGTGCGAGAGGCTCTGTTTTTTACTCTTCCCTAAAACTTGGCAGTTTTTTGCTGGGTTGTATAGGAAATCAACTGTGCAGAGTGGGGGAGGGCATCTGACATCTAACTGCTTTCAAAAGAGACTTTCAGGGGGCCTTCCTAGTTTTAGACCCACCTTCTTGCATATCTTGTGGGGTATTTAGGGTTCCACCAGTCCCTCAGACTTTAAGGGGTAGTGCAGAGAAAATCGGGTATCTTTGTGGCTTCCCTCACTGTTGGCTTAGGGTTCTACTCTGTGTGGTCTGCTAAGTCAGCTGGCCTTTGTTTGTCCAGCTTCTAGCTTCTCTCCCATTCTCTCTTTCCGGGTGGTTTACGTCCTCTTCTCCTATTCCTTGACCAGTTTTAGGGTGATTTGGGGTGAGTCAGAGGCTCCGGTAAGCCCTGTCTTTACCCAGGCATACATTTCTGGCCTGAGCCGTGCTGCATTGTCCTGGATACTCTTCATAGCCGGTTTGACTGCTTTGAAGTGCGGGTTCACTTTTCTAATTTATTTTGCCTTCCTAGGTGCCGACCTTTACAGTTCCAGCCGTCGAAATCTCACAAGAAGGTTTTGAAAAAAATGTTGAAATTTCTGGCTAAAGGGGAGATTTCCAGAGGAAACTGTGAGGGTAAGATGAGATGGGGGCCTAAAAACTATTCAAAAATTTTAATTTATTGATTGATTTCATGGAGAGAGAGACACACGCACACAGAAAGAAAGAAACATCATTGATTCATTCCACTCATTTATGCATCCACTGATTGATTCTGGTATGTGCCCTGACCGGGATCGAACCCACAACCTTGGAGTATCAGGACAATGTTCTAGCCAACTGAACTACCCAGCCAGGGCTTTCAAATGTGTATCTTTTCAAGTTTCTCACTTTCAGTCCTTTCTGAAGTTAGGTAGGGGAAAGGGGGTCCTTACTCTAATCGGGTACCACGGTTACTACGATGATGATGATTATTAGGACTGCTGTTACTGTGACCGCTGGCCCCAAATCAGGGAGATGGGGAATGTATGCTAAGGCGAGTCTAGCTTGGGAAGAAGATTTAGGATTATTTTTAAGATGTGATATCCTGGACTTCATTGAGATTTTAGTTTTCATAATGCCTTTGACAGCTCTTAGCTTACTTGGTCGCAGCAGTACCTTGTGAGGTAGATAGAAAGTGGTGCTGTCTCTGGAGACACAGGTGCTTATATGCAGCTTACGTAAGATTGCACCGTCACGTTCACTGTTGAGTGAAGCCCAGATTTTTTGTGTAAGTAAGACTTGCTTAAGGAAATTACATTGCCTGAAACTCTGTTTCTTACTTGTCTGGTAAATTTTGAATTGTGAGTGAATTCCCTAAAAGATAATTTGTAACATTTGATTAACTGTGGGTACAGATATTTTGCATCTTCAGTTTTGTTGCTAAAAAACCCCAAAGACTTATAAGCAGTGCCTAAACACGTACATAGGAACTGGGGATGCTGCCTGTTCTTCGAGCGCTTGCTCACCTCTGTCCTAGGAGATGCCTGGTCCGGGGAGCCTCCCGGCCCAGCTTGCGCTTGGGAAGCCATTCCCCAGGGTGCTCTGAGGGCCGAGGGTGCCAGTCCCAGTTTTAAGCCCTGGAGAGGCAGCGGCCTGCAACACAGGTGGTTGGATTCAGAGCAACCCAGAGCAGACCTGGCAGAGCTGGGATGACAAAGAGGCTGGAAGGCTCAGGGCCATGGAGGTTCAGGGCGGGTGGCGCGTGGGGAACATCAGAAGTTCGGTGCAGCTCGGATTAGCATTGTCAGTACGTGATCGTAAAGGTTGAACAGCTTTTGTTCAGTAGTCAATATAAACTTTTCATTGGCTGGGAATCATGTTCTCAGTTTCAAAAATTAATATTCAGATAAGCTTAGAGGATGCCGTCCGTGTGTAATTGATGGTTGCCTGTCTTTTCATGTAGCTTTTATGTTTGGTTCTTTATTTGACTTACATGGTCTTCCGAATCATCTGTGTCTACAACTTACTTATTAGGAGTGACGCACTCATTAGGATAAAGGCCCAGGTAACGGTAACAGAGGGACAGCCAGCGCAGCGACTATACAGATGGCAGGCGTCCGTCCTTCTCACAGGCGTCCGTCCCTCTCACAGCTGCCTGGGGTGCGTGTTCCAGGTCGGCCATTCTGGAACTCTCTTCGTGGGATTTCCAGGGTCGCCCTGGTATTTACTCAGCTGGCCAGTGGGGAGGGGGAAGGTTGGAAGGTCAGGGTCACAAATTTCTTTTAGAGCAAGTGAGGCACAATTAGACCTATCGGTTGGTTGTATTTTATTGGTGGGAGCTTGGCCACCACTTGCAAAGGGACTGGCAGCTCCTCCCGTGGCTCGGCTGCCACAGTCCTGACTGCAGCTCTGTGACTTTGGAAGACCCGAGGAGAGATTTGGTGGACACGCAGTAGTTTCTGTCACATTGGATAAAAGGGACATTTTTTCCTTTATGTATCTTGACTGTATCTGGCTGATGGGCTTCGGTTTCCTCTGATTCGCAGATGAGCCCATGGAGCCCCCGATGGAGGATGCCGTTGCCGGTGACCATGCACTGATCACTAAATTGGATATACAGTGCGACCTTAAAAAGCTCGGCGATAACCTCAAAGACAGCCTGGAGCGGGAAGAGAAGAAAGGAAAGAGTGCAAAGAAAGAAGAATCCAGTGGATTAATTCAGTCGCAAGACAAAAGGGCGAAGCTGGGCTCGGGGGAGCCAGCCCACTCGGTGGCAGTGCCCGCGGCTCCGAAGCCAGGTAGTGAGAGTTTGGGACCGGTCCCGCCAGGGGCTTCTGAAACACCTTTCCCCGTGCTGGAGAGGGCGCCCGCGGGTGTCCTCGCCAGCCGAAAGTGTGGCTTTCTCATGAAATCCGTAACGTTTAAGGTCTCTCTTATACAGCTGACTCCCTGGATTTAGGTGGGCAAATCACACCTTTTTAAAAACTCCCTTGTTTGCTAAGCCTGACAGAATAGCCGTATTACCACGAAATACAGACATTTCAAATGCCTGTATTTTTGAAATACAGGCATTTCAAAAGTGCTCCATTTTTTCTTACTATCTTAGGGCCCTAGAGGTTTGAGATCCAAATTTATGTGAAAAAATCTGCTGAGCATTTTTATTTTTGGTATTAGGTAAGACAAAGTAAATTTTAGGTGTTTTGTCTAAAATACAAACATTGTAACATTCCTCATTTTATCATTAGATTTCTTTAATCATAATAAGTTTTACTTTAAAAATATTCAGATTTTGATATTTAACTTCACCTTTGATAAGGTAAGATTTTTTTCTATATTTTCACTGATAAAAGAATTAGTTTTAAGAATTTCACTCATCAGTGAATGGGTTTATTGTGTGTGTGCATGAGTGTGTATATATGATTCTTTTAAGTTATCGTAAAATAATCTCAATGGCTATACTTGAGTTTCTGAATTTGTTCTTATATTTATTTATACGTAATGATCTAAGGGAGTGACTTTTAGTACTGTTTCAGTTTTTATTTGTTACATGTGTAAAAGCACAGAAAACTTTGTGCTTTTATTGAATGTTTTTTTAATGTGAGACTTTCATGGCAGTTAAATTGATGTTGGTCTGAAATTTCATCCTAATAAGAATAATGCAATAAAATGTTTTTAGTGATTTAGATAATGTCTTTCAACTTTTACTCTCAAGCAATAGGGTTAGTTCTTTTATTTTTAATATTTTATTGTAAAAATTACCATGTATCAGAGCTAAAAGTCTATTTTGGAGAATTTCAAACAGACCTGCATGGACTGAATGTCGGAATGAACTCCCATGACCTGCCCCCCACCCCACCCCCAATTTGAAATAATCGTTAGCTCACGACGGCCACTCTTGTTTCATCTGTGCTCACGTCTGGGTCCCCTTCCAGTTTTATAGTGAAGCAAATTCCAGGCATTTTATCATCTTATCTTCCAGAATACATCTCCACCAGAGGAGAACTTCAGAAAGCATTCTCAGTACTGTTACACCTAAATAAAATGCCCTCCTGCTACTGAATGTCCAGTGTTTAAGTTTCCAGTTTGTAAACATTTGTGTGCATCAGCTCCCACGTTCTGATTGGCAGTTGTTCATTACAGAAGCTGGGTGGTTCGTTTTGGGTTGTTGGTGCTGCTGTTCCCTGCCTTCGCCCAGAACTGTCTGCAGGGCAGTGTAACGTGCTGTCTGCCTGCCTGGAGATTGGTAGTTGATCTCGATCCTTGATCAGGATTCAGTTTTTGTTTTGTTTTCTGTTTGGAGGGCGTATATCTTAATCAGGTTTGGGTTCAATTTATTTATTTGAGGATGGGCTAGGCTACTTCATGGGTGATAGGTGTTTTTTCAGGAGACTTATTTTAAATGTATATAGTCATACATAATTGGAATAATTTTTAACATTGTATAATGACAAACCCCCCCAACATATCTAAAGCATTTTTAATGACTATGATATTCTGTTATTGTTAAAATTGTATAGTAATTCTATAATTGGGCATTTAGATTACTTTGAGGTTTTCATTTGTGTTATTTGCCTGTATCTCTTAGGATTTTCTCAGGATAGCTTCCTTGAGGATGACTTAATAGATTATAAAGAGTACTTGCTAAAATATTTGGTGTATGATAGTTAAAATTTTTATATTAAAAAATTTTAAGTACATATTGATTCCAGAGAGGAACATCGATCAGTTGCCTCTTGTACACGCCCCTCCCGGGGGCTGAACCTGCAACCCAAGCATGTGCCCTGAGAGGGCATTGAACCCACAGTCCTTGGTGCATGGGACCATGCTCCAACCTACTGAGCCACACTGGCCGGCTAAAAGTTTTATATTTTAAAGAGACTTGGTTGAAACAGAACTTGCGATTAATCGGAGCTGACTGTATGTGACTCCTCAGTCAGGTGGAGGGAGACACCCAAGGGTGGTCTTTCATGGGCAGAGCTGCCCCAGGGTGTTCTGGGATCGCAGTCACTGACACCCGGTTGCTGAGCGTGTGTGGGCGTCACCAGTGCTTCCGGGACTGCGGGCCGGAGCCAGCAGTGTCCTGAGTGAAGGTGTTCAACTCTGTTCTTTCTACTTCCGAAGCAGAGAACAGGCAGATCATTTTTAAAAGTGAGAGATTTAAACCATCAGAGCTGCCCGGAAAGTTCTGTGCCTGTTTACTTTCTTGGGCAGTTCCTGCTTCTAAGGGAGAATTTTAAGGTCAGCTAGAGCTCTGTCCCAGGATCCTCGCAGGGGTGTCCAGCGTTTGGCGTCTCTCTCTGGGCCACACACTAAATACCTTGCGGCACGTAATCACAAAAAAATCTCATCATGTTTTAAGTCAATCTCCAGTTCTGTGTTGGGCCGCATGCGACGCATGGGCTGTGGGTTGGACCCTCCCGCAGGATCGACCCCAAAGCTGACCCAACCGTTGGAACGCTGTGGACTCAGTAGAATCTTTGAGACTCTTGGAAAACGATCTCCAGGGCCAGATGTGATAGACCTAATGTTTTGAAATTCTCTTCAGGCAAGGGGGCAGATTTGAGTAAGCCGCCGTGTCGGAAAGCGAAGGAGCTCCGCAAGGAAAGGAAGAGGCTGAAACTCGCGCAGCAGAACGCAGCCGGCGAGCACGCGGGCCTGCAGGCCCCGCGGGGACCGCCGCCCTCCTCCCCCCCGAAGGCCAAGTCCAACCAGCCCAAAGCGCTCGAAGATTTGATCTTTGAGTCTTTACCGGAGAATGCGTCCCATAAATTAGAGGTACTTTGAAGAATATGTACTTTTTTTGGTTTGTCTTATTGTTTCTTTTTTTGGTCCAGTCCCTTGTGTATTTTCCATTTGAGGTTATATTAATCCACTGGTAATGTTGCTGTTTGATCAGTGGGAGATTAAAGTTCATTGGGACAGAGTGATATTTGTATTTACTAAGTCAGCTGCTACTTAAGAGACACTTCTTTTTAAGATGAAAAAACAGGCAGTTTGACTGACATTGCAAAAGCAGTTCCAGTTTTAGCGTGTTACGATGTGTGAAGTACTCTGGCTTTTCCTATTCCTTGATTGAAATTTAGTAAAGTGGAACAAAAAATACTGCAAATTTTATTTTTGGCAATTTTGGTGTAGATGGTGAAAGAGAACAGATCGCACTAGGTGAGTCACTGTTTTAGCTCCTCTGACACTCCGATCTCGGTCGGAGTTGCAGACAACATCGATCTGGGCTGCGAGCCAGCAGTTCGGAACCCACGCAACAGCGCCAGACTGCACCACTCTCGTAAACTCTTCCTCAGGTCCCTCCGAACCAGCTCAGCTTCAGGTGAATGCTTTTAGAGTGTCCCCATTGTTTTTTCCAAAGTGATTTACATTCCAGATTAAGTCTAGATTTCTCAGTATATTCATTTGTATTTTTTTTCTAAAACATTAGCCATTTTCTCATACATGATTAGTAACTGGTCAGCCTTGGAATTTGTAGCTTAATTTCATCTAAGAACATCACTTACCACTAGACATTTGATATTAAAAGTTGACTCTGACACAGTCTAAACCTTAGGACGATATGTGTCATCAGACATAAGTTTTAACAGCTTTGGCTAGGATAATTCCTTGGCTGCTCTTTGTCACTGACTTTCTCCTTCCCAAACCGTAAAGGGTATCAACATGCGATTTCAAACCCTTTAGGAGGAGGAGTCCCGTGTCTTGTGGTCGTAAGCAGTAGTGCGCTCAGGGCACCCCGCACGCCAGTTCTGCAGCCCGCGGCTCTGACGTTTTTGCTGCAGTGACCCCCTGGGCGGGTCCAGGCTGGTCGTCCACTGGGGGGTCAGTCTTTCCTCACAGCAGAGTTTCTTCTCAAGGCACATGGGAAAAGTTTTCCACTAATGAGGGCCTTTTATTAGATTGCTGTTGATCTTCTGTTTTACCCCCTGCTGTGCCAACACATTTTAGCTGGTCAGCACATAATTCGTGTTAAATGTCAGCCGTGATTGTTTGCGGCTACTGTCTCCGTCTCATCCTCATTTTACACGAGGGTAAACTGAGGCGCAGAGAGGGTGGTTCATATTCTTGACCAAGATGGCGACAGTAAGATTTGGGGAGAGGAAATGTGACTTTGGAGTCTTCATTCTTAACGATGCTATGACATAGGAACACTTTGTTTTTTTAGAGTTACTAAAAAAAGGTCGTTTAGTGTTAGCAATAACTCGTGAAAGAGGGTCCAAAAAAGTATATTCACATTTTTAGTCTTTCTGACCAATTTACTGAAGGTGAGTTGCATGCAGCTAAGATCCAAGGGTATTTATTCGTGTTTGTGTCAGAGTACTGGAAGTATTCTGTCGTTTTACAGCAGAGGTGGGCTGACATAATTTGGTCATAGACTCTAACTGGTCTTAAAATTCAGACAGCACCCTCTGCCTTCTTAACGAGTCTGTACTTTGGAGAAATAACTTTCCAGATTTATTTACTACCTGTTGATTTTTAATGTTAAAATATTATATGTTTATGCTTCAGTGTTTGTATTGAAACATTTGGTTCTTTTTGGATGGGAGTAATCGTTAATGCATAGTCATGGGATAAACAAATGAATTAATGAACATTGTTTTTTAACTCCTTCTGAAGGTGAGGCTGGTGAGATCATCTCCACCGAGTTCTCAGTTCAAAGCCACAATGCTGGAGTCGTACCAGGTCTATAAACGTTACCAGATGGTTATTCACAACCAACCACCTGATAAACCAACTATCAGCCAGGTCAGCAGGCCAAGTGTAATTTTTCTGGGCAAGTGGAACTTTCCCTTACACTTGATATCACTGTGAATTCTGGGTTTACTTGTGGTACATTTTGTTTAGACTCAGTTTGCAGCGTATCTGCGCAGAGATAGGACTGGGTTAGTGAACATTCTGAAAGTGCAAGTTTTACCCAGTGCCACGATTAAGTGCCAGTCATGTGTAATTTCAGAGTGGAAAAGTAACACATCAAATCAGCTCTCTCTATTTCTAGTCACCGTGTTTAGGTGTCTTTATCTAAAAGGAATAGAGCACTAAGTACAAATATTAATGAGAAAAATGCAAAAAGCTTTATATTTTTATAGCAGGCATACTTTACACAACATAGTTAATACGCTTTATCCCTGTTTTAGCCCCGTGTAGAATGGGTTCATAACAGCCAACTTACTCTGTTGATGTGCTACCCATTTTCAACTGAGTGGAACTGGAAAAATAAGATAGAAATTTTAACAGAAGTCCTCATTTGTTTATAATTTTATAAATCAAATTACCCAGGAGAAATCTGGAAGGGTAAAAAAGCTGGATTCACTTACTATATTATGGCGACGGTAGTGGCCGTCACCCTTAGCAACAGCGTTACTAGAGTGCGTGCAGAAAACCACTCTAGGAGGGCATGCCGAAAACCATGCCAGGTGGGTAGAGAAAAAAACCACATGAAAGAAAGACACATCACCTTGGCCTCGATGAGGTGACGTTTTCACAGAGGGGAGCATAAAGTGAGTGGCACGGGCTCGGTGCCATCAGCTCGTTCCGGGGTTGATGCAGCCCAGGAACGCTGCCAGTGCTGAGCTTTGGAAGTGGATTCGCGGAGGTCTTACTCTAGCCTCACCTTCAGAAGCGTGTCACCAGGTGGAGATGTTTCAATAGCATTTGCTTGTGTTTTCCCTGCTCTGAAGGTGAGGCTAGTACCTGTCTCCTTTGAGGACCCAGAGTTCAAGTTGTCCTTCAGCCAGTCACTTTCTTTGTATGTCAAGTATCAAACGGCCGTCCACCAGGATTCGCCTGATGAATGTGGGAAGACGGAGGTACCTTTTGTTAAACGTTTTCTCCCATGTTGATGAGGTTGTCTGTGAAGAAGCATAACGTAACGTTCTTACGCCAGTGTTCTACTCCGTTAAGTGGGGCATATAGTCCTCTCTGCACTCAGTGTGTATCGCTGGTGGTTGTGAAAGCAGCCGTACAGGTAAGCATTCGAAGTCCCCAGAAAAAGGAGGCGTTCTTGCTCAGTGTTCTGTCCAGGAGCCCGAATGCTGTGTCTTTATCTGTTGTCACCGGGCCGAGTCAGCAGATGTCACCAGGTGCTCGTTCTCTGCCGGCCTTGGTGCACGGGCCGAAGGGACGAGTCCCTGTCCTCAAGGAGGCGGTGGTCAAATGGGAAGGACGGGCCGGTAAACAGACGTCCTCAGAAGCAAGTGAGAAAGCACAACTATGTTGAGGTTACATAGAGCATCGTTATTTTTAAATTTAAGTGTTATTCTTTAATTACAGTTTACATTCAATGTTTTGTATGAGTTTCAGGTGCATATAGTGCACCATTTCACAAGCAATTAATAAGGGCCTCTTTTATAGGCTAGAGATACGCAGAAGAATGAGAGATTGCAGAGTTGTCACAGAGGGACAGTGATGTGTTAGGAGAACGATACCAACAGACACAGAAGAATTAAAGTTTTGATTTTTTCTTTTTTTAATGACAGAAAGTGTTAACTTAAAAGCGATGATTAATAAGGCAGGGGTTAATGCCTGTCCTAAGAGAGGGCTGACTTCTGGTCTCCCAGAGCCCTGCTAGTTCAAGTGTGGTGTGCAGACCTACAGCCTCCGCTGTGCAGATTCTCAGCGCCCCCCCCCCACCTCCTGAATCTGCATTTTGAACCCTGTCTCCAGGTGATGCATGCGCACAACCTGATTTGGGAAGCGCTTCCATAAGTCCCCCACTCGGACAGGCAGCTGAGGGTGGGAGCATTCACAGAGAGTAAGGATTCTGCCAGGCGCGAGAAGCTCCCTTCGATATTCGCAGGGGGGCTGACTCCTCTGTGAACATGACTCCTTCCTACCAGCACCCTGGGGATGCTGGCTGTGTGCCTGCTTGCTCGCTGGGGGTAATGGTTGGGCCAGAACAGGCCGACATGGTCCCGTGTGTTTCCTGGGTGAAGGTCGCTTTTCCAGGACTGTGCCCCTAGGCTTCGGGCCCCCGGGGACCCCATTCCTGCAGACTGGGCTCATGGCGAGAGACCTTCACAGTGTGATCGGGAGACAGACGGGGAGCAGGTCCAGTGCGGTTCCGGTTCGCTGTTGCATTAGTGCGGAAAGCCAGCTGCGTGTGGGACGGGAGGTCAGAGAGGCTTTTCTGAAGGACTCGCAGCTGAGTCAGCTCGGACAAGAGGGTCAGGCCAGAAGGGGACAAGAGCCTTCTCAGCAACAGGACTGTGTGGAAGAAGTTCAAGGCGCCCCTTACGGAAAATTCTTGAGAAATTGAACCGGAAGCCACAAACGTACAATGATCAGTTCACAAAAAATATGAAGGATAAAGGAATATATTAAAATGACATCTGGGCAATTCTATAAGACAGTTGACCTCGTTTCTTTAAATACATAAGAAGTGAAAAAACCCCACCCTGTTTAGAAAAAGAGAGGGAAGTCTGCTCCAGATTAAAAGTTAAAAACTTTAAAAAATGTGTAGCTATAATACCATACCCATACTCAACAAAATTAGCAATAATCATATCATTCAATATTCAGTACATGTTCAATTTTCTTTAGTTTTCTTAAAAATGTCTTTTTAATTGTTTGAATCAAGTTGAGTCAATTTGTTTGAATCTGTATCCACATAAGATCTGTACATCACATTCGATTGATATTCTCTTTCTCTTAAAAAGGTTTTATTTATTTGTTTTTAGAGAGAGGGGAAGGGAGGGGGAAAGGGAGGGAGAGAAACATCAATGTGTGGTTTCCTCTCGCGTGCCCCCAACTGGGGACCTGACCCACAGCCCAGGCATGTGCCCTGACTGGGAATCGAACCAGCGACCCCTTGGTTTGTAGGCTGGTGCTCAGTCCACTGATCCACACCAGCCAGGGCAAGGTTGATACTCTCTTAAACATCTTTTAATTAGAACGGATTTCTGTTATGCTTTTGACAGCACTTTTAAAAGAAACTGCATGATCTATTTTGGAATTAGTTTTGTTTCTTTTGATTTATTTTGAAACTACTGTATAAGTGAGTATATGTGTGGTGTCTGTATGTGTGACAGATGTTTCTCTCATTGCCTGCTTTTATATGTATATGTACGTGTGTGTGTTTCTGTGTCTCTGACATAGGGTTTATAGTACACACCGTTGTCCCCGCACACACACCTACTCACACATGCACACGGTCCCCTCTTCCTGACACAGAGGCAGTGTGTCAGACTGGTTCACGTCTCGGGGCCGCTGCGGGACCATGCACGAGGGGACCGTCGTCCTTCGGTTCCCCGGGTCACGGTGCCCTCTCCGCAGAGACGCCCTCTCCATAGAGACGCCCTCTCCCTCTCTCCGCAGAGGCGCTGTGGTTCCCCAGTCGGCTTCCATTGCTGTCGGCTTGTCTCTTTCCAGCCCTTATCCCGAGTAGTGGTGCAGTGAGCAGGACCCTTGCGCGTAGAATTTCCTGTGCTTTCTTCAGTGCGTGATCGTTACAGGACTCCAGATTGCTGGGTCGGGGTAAATTTCCCTCCAGAGGGGTCTCTGCCCAGAGTCGTCCGCCTTCGTAGCCGGCAGCTGTGAGAAGGCCCGCTCCTCGTGGCGGCCGTGTGATCGCGTGCCCGCCCCAGAGCCCAGGTGGAGGGGGTCCTGAGCTCAACCGCACGTGTTCAGCGGGCGGGCGGAGAGCTTCCCACCGTACAGTTGGGGTTCCGGCCCCCTGCCTGCTGCAGGGTGCTGGGAGGTTTCTGTTCCCAGGAGGCGGGACTCGGGCGGAGCCCAGGTGACGAGGGCTGACGGCACTGGCAGTGGTCGGAAGAGGCGACGGCGGACACCGGGCAGGTAGCCTGGACGAGGATTCGGTATTCGACCTGAGGGACGTCTGGGGAGTTGGGGAGGGAGGAGCGCGAAGGGCCCAGGTCAGTTTTTCGAATTTCTGGCTTGGGTGACTGGGTAGATTGGGGCGACGTTACCTGGGTGAGAAGTGCAAGAGGGAGAAGAAAGTGTGCCCTCGGGGACAGAAAATGCGCCCTGTGCCGGGCAGGCCGAGGGTGAGAGCTCGAGGGACAGCTGGGCGAGTGACGGCGCGGCCGCACAGCCGCCCCGGCAGGCAGCACCGGAGGCTCCGAGGTCCGGCGAGGCTTGGAGACAGGCTTGTCTCCTGGTGTCGTGCGGGGTCACGTTTTCTCAAACTTGTGTTACGGTACAACTCTGATGTGCAATTTAAATGGTGCGTGGTACAGGGCAGTGACCTCTACTCTAAAAGTGGTGTTTTTTTTTAGAGAAAGATGAAGATAGCATTTAATGAAAAGCCCGTGCTGGTAAATTTTATTGTGAGCCATTCAGATTTTTATTTTCCTTTGAATTCAGTTACTATACATTTTAACTTACATTTACTCCTGTCAGTAGTACTGAACTTGGGTATGTGATTTGAGCTTGTTTTTAAATGGAAATATATAATGGATTTAATGTGACCAAATAGTTTTTATTGTGACCAGATTACATTAATGTGACCCAATGATTTTACCATAATGATCCGTTTTATATGGTCAGATGGCATACAAAAAATGTGTACTGACGAAAACATTTTGACAGTAGACGACTTTGATTTCGTACAAGGTGGTGTATTTGGCTTTGATAAACCCTTTGACTTCCGGATCAGTCGTGCGTTTATGTACCTGACAGCTAGCTGAATAGACATGGAGTCTTCAAAGACTTTTGAAGCTTGTTGTTTTTCATGTGGGCTGATTCGTCATCTCACTGAATGTAGTTTCAAAGAAACAGCATGAAATAACGCTTTGCAAGTCAAGACTCTTTGCTGTTTTCTCTTTAGTACAGCTTTATTGAGATATAATTCACAAAGGGTTCAGTTCACCCCTTCCAGCTGTACGGTTCAGTGGTTTCTCCGTCTGTCCACAGGGTTGTGTGACTGTATTGGGGGGTTATTACATAATGTGTAATAATAAATGTTGTATTGTTGTAACTGCAGAATATTCTCATCGCCAACCCCGCTAGCAGTCACTCCTCACTTCCCCAGCGCCCCCAGCTCTGGGCAGCCACGGCCCTGCTTCCTGTCCCTGGATTTCCCTGATCTGGACGTTTTATGTAAATGGAATCATAGAGTGTGTGGTCTGTTGTTGACTGGCGTCTTTCACGCAGCGTTAGGGTCTGCAAGGTTCACCCGTGGTGTAGCGTGGGTGAGTGCGTCATTCTTTTTATGCTGAATCGTGTTTCATGGTGTGAATAGACAACACACCACATTTTCTTTCTCCACTTACCTGTTCCTGGACATCCGGATTTTTGTTCTTGGGCTTTTATGGAAAATTCTGTTGTGTACATCTGTGTGCAAGTTTTTATGTTAGACATAGTTTTCCTTTCTCTTGGGTGTAGCCCTCGGAGTGGAGTTGCTGGGTCACATGGTGACTCTGTGTTGACCTTTCAAGGAGCGGCCAGACGGGTTTTCAACGCGACGATGAACCGTTCTGCACTCTCACCAGAAATACTCGAGATTCCACTCTCCCCACATGCTCACCAACACTCACTTTTTTTCCATTTTCCAGTTTTAGTTTTAGCCATCCTAGTGGGTGTGATCTCTTCCTGCTTTCGATTTGCATGATGTTGATCGTCTTTTCATGTGCTTTTTGGCCATTTGTATATCTTCTTTGGAGATGTGTCTCTTCAGGTCCTTTGTCCATTTTTAAACAGGTTGTTTTTATATTATTGAGTTGTAGGGGACTTTACATGTATTCTAAATACAAGTCCCTTATCATATATGATTACAAATATTTTTTCATTCTGTGGGTTATTTTTATTTCTAGTAGGGTTTTTTGTTTTATGTATTTTGTTGATTTTAGAG